AACATTTAGTGATGCTTAAGGATATTGCCTCGTTAATAAATATTATATATGCTGCTATATAGTGCTGACGAATATAAGCAAAATTTGCTAATTTACATTCTGGAATAGATATTTTAAGGGGGCCAGGTCCGGAGATACAAATGTATCGTGCCCATATTTAACTTAATGTAAAGTATGTTGCAGCAAGTGTAACATTTACGTTATTAATATTTACAAATATTAACGCAAGTATACCATAATTATAATGCCATAAAGATATTAATTATATTAATCAATGCACGCCTTATCAATTACGCACAGCTTATGATCAAATAATAATGCAAACAACATCTGTACATGTGACATAGTGTGCACACTTTTGACCTATATATCGATAATACTGGCATTACACTTTCTTTTATTATTGGACTTGCGCATATGAAAAGACAGCGGCTTCCAGTGGTAGAAAGTTAAAAAACACTGAATAGCAGTATAATTTTGTGCAGCCAGCTGTGATAGTCGTGTACTTCTAGCATTATGGTGTAGCATCGATTACCGATATCCTCGTAGTACTGGTTGTACACGATACGTATATTTTCATAAGGAGTGGCTATCCAGCCAACAAAAAGATTGCCAAGTCCAGCTATCTTTCCCTCCAAAAGGCCAGAATACGTGGTAGGCGATAGCAGCTCCTGGTCGCGACGTAATTACGCATAGTGCGCCACTTGCCCTCGACCCCTCGTTCGATTAACGATGTTCCGACGGGCCTGACAATAGCCCACCAAAACGACAAGAAAACATAAGAATAAAGAACGAAGAAAAAAGAAAACCCGCTCGTATAGGAAAGGAGGCGCGTAAGACCGGCAATGCGTCACGAATTTTACCGCATCCAAGGCAAAAGTCGGTCATCCGTTGCGTAAGCATCTTCGACCAAACGGATGTGCCCCGTCCTCGAGATATTCCAAGAGGCGTTGAGAGCAGCTCAGGAAAGTACGCGTTCCGACACGGAATCTTTCGTGCAAACGCCAAGAAGACGCTGTTCCCGGCGTTCTCCTAGTAAATCCTAGGTGGACGTATCGACCAACTTTATGACACTTTCACGGGCGAAAGTTTCATTACGTGGGACGACGGAGCGAGATAGATAGACGGCGACGATTTGGATGAAGTAGTTGCGAGCGAGGGAGGGGGGATAGGAGCGTTGACGAAACACGGTTTCTCCGGGGGCAGTCCAGGTCCGTATTAAGCACCTCGTCTCCCCCCTCCCCTCCCCTCCCCCCTCCCCCCACCCAACAGACCAACTACTAGTTAGCCGATTTCGCACCCGCTTGCTCGCTCCCATTGGGCCATTACTTTCTCGGATTCAATGACGTACGAGACCGAGTACACCCACGTAGTACTCGCTCGGATGCGATAATCGACAGCAGAGCCTGGCACCGACCGCCGCTCGCGTATTATTATCTCCACCCTTTACTTCACGCACGTCCATGCAATCGAATCCCAGCGCATTTTACGCGCGTATTCTCACTTTCTTTTTCTCGTGGAAATTATTACGAAATTTCGAGGAATGCCTAATGGGATGATGCGGTATTTCGTCTCGAATACTCTCGAAAGGAACGAGCCAGGGCCAATAGAGCGCCAGCGAAACGCCCTTGGAACATTTCACATGTCATAGATCGATAGACACCATAGATACTCTCTCGTATATCTCGATAATCTCATAACAATCGCTCCTCGATTCCATAACAACGTACACTCGAACGAAGCGCACGAGATATAAATATAAATGAACGCTTGTCGCGGTAAGCCAATGTATTTAACGATATGAAACTCTATGCGTACTGAATCATTGGAGAAATCTTTGATGTTTGGATCGAGGATCGTGACAATGACTGACTCCCAATTAACTATGCAATTCCCTATGGTATTTAATAATTTTATAATTTTGCAATGTCGAGCTGAATTTCCATAACAGTATAATAATTATTGCAATAATAATTATGAGAATTAGATTTTTCACTGAGTAAGCGCTGAGTACCCGTTATAGAAAGCCGTCGCTGAATCTTAATACATTTTTTTTTTTTTTAAATACCAACGTGCTATTTATGAAGGACAAGGATTTTTGCATTATTTTGTAAGCACTCCTGTCGTGCTCTTCGACACGTTAACAACGCGCACTTTTGTACTCTTTGTAATATGACGAGCATTATTGCATATGGACACAATGCAACTAAATAAAAATTCCAACGACTTTACTCCTCGATGTCGAATTAAAGAAAAAAGTGGCGCTAAAATATAGAACAGAGCAATGCACGCTTATCTTTAAGTGTATATCATATATATATATATATATATATATATATATATATATATATATATGCGGGTGAGAATATAAACGCATTTGACTTTTCCCGACACGCAGCAGAGGACTGCTTTACTGGCGTTCGCGTCGTCATGCAAAATTTATTTTGCTTTCCCTCGCGACACTTGATGCATTCTTCACAAGGCATATCGAGCGAGTTGTTGTTGTTGATTTTGTTTTTGTTTTTTTGTTTTTTTGTTTTTTTTTGTTTTTTTATTTTTGTTTTTTTGCCTTTTAAAGTCCCGGGCAAATGTGTTGCGTCTTTCTCTTCGAAAAGCATAAATTTAACGCATCGGGGGACTCGTGGACGCTCCACTCCTCTCCTCTTCACTTCGTTACTTCAAATCTACACTACGGCATTATTTATTGCGTAATCCCGACGAGTTTTATAAACACAAACTGCAGATTTCTGTTCTGAATCAATGAATCTCTATAACGGCATGTAGATGGAAAGTTTTTCAAACTAATTAAAATGAAGCTTAAACATGTAACTTAACTATATGAATTATTAGACTTTCTAAAGCAAAAGCTAAGAAAAGAAAATTAAATGTTAAAAGCCTCCTGCAGCGTGAAAAACCGATCGATTATAACTTACCAAGTTATTCAGAATTCCATCAAAATTCTAATTATAAAATACATAAATATTTGTAAAATATAATATGAAAAATTATAACCCTATTGACAAACACACACAAAAAAAGAAAAACAAAAAACAAAATAAAAGAAAGAAAGAAAGACTCCTAAATAACGTAATCGAACGATGATGTCTATAGGTTTTATTACCGACTGGATTATTAACATTTTGAATTCAATCTAAAATAATATATTTATAGCGTATGCTATTTATACTACAATATAAATTAAATACTACGTAAAGTAAAAAAATGTGCATATATATTTTTCTCGCAAATAAATACTCGTAGGACCTTGGTGAGTGCTCGTGCATTTATTTTCCATATTTTCCGAATGATTAATCATTTCTTCTCTCCCACTCACCCTCGCCCTTTCATTTTTCTTTCATTTACATAATAAATTAATCTTGTTCATTTTATTTACACGCATTATAAAATAAAAGTCAATTATCGATTATTTTTGGTTAATAATTTCAGCAACTTATTAAATTATCAATCCATATGTACATCTGCGTATATATATATATATATATATATATATATATATACTCGTTGGAAAAGAAAATTAAATTAAATTAAATAAACTATAAATATGCCTACATCACGTTATGGAAGATAAATTATGCGAATGGTGGCTAAAAACTTTGTATCGTTTTTAACGACAAAAATCGTGTATTCAATTTAATTGACTAAAATTAAAAATTAAAAAGTCATCGATCCTGCCTATACGGTAAGTGTTAAAAACCACGTTATAGTCGGGAAAAAAATGCAAGAAAGAAAGAATTATATTTTGTGCGAGGCAAGGCGATTCTCGTACCATCGTAACACGAATAATAAAATCAAACCGCTCAACAATGAATCGATAAAACATCCTTTAGATTATTGACCTGAAATAACGAATGACCACATTCACAACACATTGTTCATAGTCTATGGCTTTAATCATATGTTTATATGTGTGTATATATATATATATATATTATATTTGAACGTTACGTATCTCTAAAACAAAAAAGAGAAAAAAAAGAAAAGAGATGTTTCTTTTTGCAAAATTAATTACCAATTATAAAAAAAATAACGAAACTATCAACGTGTCATGCATTGATGTTCTTGCTAATTTAAAAGTACATTTATCGACAAATTGAGAAAAGATGCATCGTGCACAATGCTGGCGTTAAAATCTCTATGCTCGATAAAATTTGCGGATTCCGAGGCTGACCAACTTTTGCTTCTTATGCTGCTTTTTATTTTATGATGCAAGAATTATTCCGCTACGTGTCATGCATTTATTTACAAGCCAACTATATTGAACGCCATTGATAAGCAATGAATTAAAATCCTTACAAATTTATGCGATAACTTGCATTTCAATACTTTCTCTATACGCGCAAAATCGTACTCTAATTGTTCTATATAACCAGTAGATTTTTAAATACTAAATGCTACTTTTACAATGCAAATCGACATTATGCAATTCAATGCTTTCGAGTCCTATGTCAATGTAAAATACGTTAATATCTAAATAGTATCTAAATTATATTGCATTCTTGATTCCTTCAACTTGATTCTATCGGCATTTTTCCTCTCATTTTACCCTTAAATATCATTAGAATAATAATATTATTTATCAGAGTCTTAGAATGCAAATACTTTCGATCGACTGTTCCCTGATGCAATTACTTCCACCCTCGTTGTTCAAGCAATTAGTAGTTGTACTAGTAGTAACTGCGATGTTTTTTTTTTTTTTTTTTTTTTTTTTTTTTTTTTTTGCATCATCGATAATATCGCACTTTACCTCGACAGGCGACACTTGTTATGCTCGTTAAATGTCAAAAACATCGCGATTTGTCGGCGAGAAAGTGCTGATAAAAATGGTCGACTGACGAGTATGGTATGACTATTACGGGACCTTCCGACCCACCGGCCAAACTTCGGCCCAAACTCTCCACAATCTCACGTGCACACAAGCCACGGCTAAGCTACAAGTGGCGAGAAGCACCGTGGTAAAACTCCGCTGACGGTAGACTCACCGAGTGAAACGATGAGGCCCAGGGCCACTAGGACGAAGATCGACTTCGGCCCTGCCATTGCCGAGGAACTGTAGCGCCTCACCGGTAGGCGCGACTCCGCCTACGGGAGTCAAGGTGATGTCCCGGTCGACTCCCTCACCTTCACCTTCTTCTCCAATCCTTCCCGCACTCGGATACACTTAACCGCTATCGCGGGCGTCGCACTGAGTCAGTAGGCTGTTCCGCGTGAACGGACAGGGCCGGGAGCGCGGTAGGGTGGACGTGGGTGATATAGCCGCGGTTTAGTTGTGTGGCGGGGGAGGGGGCCGGGCGGATCGCGGAGGGGGGGGGGGAGGGGGGGAAGGGGGAAGGACGACGGAGAGCCAGACGTTTTGATCGTGGGGTCGATCTCTAGCCAAAGGACGACGCCATTTTGAATTCAAGGCTAAGAGGCAGCAGCCCGTGCACCACGCGACTCTCGCGAATCGGGCCAGCGAGAAGAGAGGCAGCGACGAAACTTGGCCATCGTCGTCGGCCCCCTTTTATCCTTTTTCCGTCCTCTCTCCCGTCTCCTCGTCCTCGGTCTCTCCTCTCGGCTCCGCGGAGGGCCCGAGCCGCGAGTAGTGACCCACTTTTGCGCGTCCACGCCGTCGGAGCGATGCGGTGGTACCCAGCGTTAGAGACTCGCTCGGGGAACGGCTTCTTCGGCCTCTTCGAGAGACCCGAAATTCCGAGCCCCCGGGCACCAACTGCCCGGGCTCATTTGACGATCGGATCGCCGGGAGTGGTGGGGCTGGAGAGCGATTGTCGAGCGCGGGAGCCGGCTCCGGGTACGCACCATACGCAACTTGCTTGCTTACTTCCTCCTCGGTCGTTCACTCGAGACTGGCGCGGCGCGACGCGACCTGCCGACTCGCTGCAACTCGAGGACTGCGCCGCCCGAGGACGGTCATACCCCAGGGGAGCCGCTCGTCTCTCCCACTTTCTTCGCTCCTTCCTTGTGCCGCTACTCCCTCCCACTCTCCCTCCCTCGCTCTTTCACCTCGCCACTATCCGTCTATTTATCTATCTTACTATCTCTCTTCACGTGATCATTTCACCGCGACTTTAATGCCCCGACTCCACTCCACAGCGCTCTACCGACCGACACGCTTCGCTTCTTCGCTCCTCTCCGTGTGTGTAAAGTAACGTATGTATTATGCGTATGCGTGCTTAACTCCACGCATGAAATTCAGCAGCCCTGGCTTCCTCAAAGCTACTTATTAGAGAAACGCTTGGACAATGTGCTTTGTAATTACGTGCTCTTACACACAAGAGCTACATTCGCCAAATCGCTTTTCATCTAATTTAATTTAATATACTTGAGCGCCACTCGACTCGAAAGTCCATCATAAAACATTATTATAGTTATGCGCGAGCACAACAGTTCACGCGAGACACATCGATCTATTTCACTTTCTACAGTATTTCTTATAAATTAAATTACGATCGTTGGCCTCTCAACGTGATCCTCGGGCTAAAATGTTGAAGTAATTCAACGCCCAATTAATTCACACCTCGACGACCGAAACTGTATCACTCTGGAGAATGAAAATACTCGATCGAGGATATACGCACACACACGCACACACGCACACACGCAAACACGCACACACACGCGCACACGCACACACACGCCCACACACGCACACACATATAAATCTTGGCGATGCGTGCAAATTAAAAAAAAAAAAAATTTCACCTTTCCTTAGCCTTGCAATTCTATTCTGATTATTATTAACATTATCCTATTTGCAATTATATAGAATTTTCCTTCATTTGGAATAGACGTTAATATTATACTTCATCGTTTCTTTCTAATCTGTGCGCATACTGTCACATTAGTCGAAGGAACAATGTAAATTATTTTCTTCATTGGAGCTTGAATTTCTCTCTACTAGATTAAACATACATATTAATTTTGTTAATACGAGGTGGAATAATTACTCTTATATGCCTTCCTTTAAAATATCGAGAAAATACCAAATAGATTAAAAATATGATTAACATAAATTTGAAAACAATATTTACAATATTTTATAATTTTTTTTCTAACATTTTAACGAGAATATAAAAATCAAATATTTATTATGATTAAAAGTGTAAAGGAAATTCGTTTCATTACTTTTAACCAAAAAACTGATAAATTATTATTTCTTACACTTGATACGATACTCTTCAATTTTTGCTTAATAATGTAATAAATTTTTTTAATTATATAATCAATATACAAATTCAATAATAACAAACAGCAATAAACATTGTAGTGCATTATTTACAAAGATTATAGATTTGAATGTTAAAATCTACAATTATAAATTTATCTTATAATATTATTGAAAAAATGTAGCGCTTTGCAATTAATGTTAAATATAAAAAAAAAAATAACGTTTTCGCAAATATGTTAATCGACAAAAATGACAATTGATTAGTTTCGTATTTCGTAAAGAATTCGGATTTCGTAAAGACATTATTTGTGTCTATTAAAATAAAATACAAATGAATTCTTCATTATCTATTGTAATACTAATACTGCTATTAACAATAATAGTAATAATAATAATTTTTTTTTAATAATACTATATTTGGTGAAAGGACTATAAACAGCCATCCTTATCGACATCGTAACAACAATTTATTTAATAATTTGTTAATTTTTATAACGGAATATTACATAATTATTGGAATATATGACTATATGCTAAATAAAAAATATAATACTTTTATTAGAAATATGTGAAAACTTGATCGTTACAGTGAATTTATTTGAAAATTATAAGTACGTTCTACTTACGACATATCGATATAAAAAAAAAAAAGAATCCAAATTGAATTGGTTAAAATATTTTTAAATTAAATTTTATTTATATCCTAAGATATTGTTTCGAATAAGTGACAAAAAGAGATTGTTCTTACAAAGTAATATTTCACGACAGACAAAAGCAAAAGTTGGCCTATAATATTATTTGTTACTCTTCCATTCCACTTTAAGTATTATTTTTTAATTAAAGTTCTCAATTCATGCGGATAAATATTTTTCCAAATAAATATTATTCCAATATTATTTTAAAGTATCGCAATAATTCATTATAAACATATTATTTTTTTGTTTAAAATTTTGGATTTTGATCTAGTTAAAAAAGTATTTTTGAAAGATATAATAAATTAAAAATAAATATGATTTACAGTGAACTTACAAAATAAGAAAAAAAAAAGTAAAGGTGAGAAATTTTTGTTTGATTACTAATATTATTGATAACTAAAAGAGCTTTGTGTAGAATAACTATATTATTATATGTAATAAACAATCAAACGAACTGCAAATTCGTCAATTATCTCGCTATTCCTTTTCCTTTCCAACTATCAATTACTATTTTCACCCTTGTTTAATGTTTTATTTTAGTTAATTTATATATCTAGGAAAAAAAAACATGTTTTATCTATTCATGAATTATTTTATAAGCAACGATATTATTTTAATATGACTGATTAAAGAAAAAATTATTCGCAAAATTATAACAGTTTGTGTATATGAGAGAACTGAGACAATAACAACAGTGAAATAATCAATTATTTTATCTTAAGAATATCATATCATAATCCAATGAAAATCCAACTATATCAATGAAAGTAACATAATCGACAAAATCTATATATATCTCGTTTACAATTCCTCATGCTTATTGTTTTAAATATCTAATTATTATTGATTTTACCATAATATTTGCTTTCTCTTAAATTCATTGGAAATGATTAGCAACCCCAATCGATTATAGTAACGAGTCTTTACATATATATAATTTAAATTATATGACGAATATATATTTCACGTACTACGTGAAAAGCTGCTGCAGCCAAAATATCTACAAATGTATACAAAAAATAGGGACAAATATGTCGAAGAAATGCATAGAATAGCAAAGACACGATTAGTTTAAAAATATATTTATATATAATAGCGATTGAAGGCTTGGAATAGATTTTTCTTAATGCTCGATTTTCAAATTTAACAATAAAAATTTCTCTCTAACTATTGAGTTTATCGTTACGAAATTTTATGCTTTCATTTATGCTTACAATGAAATTAAAATCTTTAACTAAAGTACGTCCTTAAGGTAATTTTATCTGTATTTTAAGTGTCTAATTTAAATTACAATTTTTTTTTTTTTTTTTTTTTTTTTTTTTTTTACAAAAATAAGTAATTTACTATAATCTTTTATTAAAAGCAAGTAAATCAAGGCATCAATCATTCTATATTTAGGCAATATGTATTAAAAAAAAAATATATATATATATAATATATTTTTATTATAACAATTTATAAAATCAAATTAAAAAAATGATATTCAATAGTTTTTCAAGCGTCATAGAATATAAAGACCTTAATTTAATTTTATTCTATGATAAATATATTAAAGCGATGATTTATTAATTATTCATTTATTATTATTTAGTACGAAAGTTTAGAAGTTCGTTTTATTGCCATTAATAAAAAAAAGTCTATAGCGGTAAAAAAATTATTATTAGCTGCTTTTTGGCCTTCTTGAAGGCACAAAATTTTTCTACAAATTACAACTACTATTTTATTCTATTTTCATTCTGCTCGATTATTACAATGGCGGATAGTAAATTAAATTTTTTTCAACGGATATAACGAGCGTAGAAAGCAATTGTCTTGTCAGAGGACGAACGATGTATTCCAAATCTTAAAAACTTAACCACCTGTCACATGGCAATTCCTACGTTATCGATCGTCGTTGTAATAGAAAATGGCTAGAGAGGATATTTCGACATTGCCAATTGAGTCGCGAGCTTTGAAAAATTCATGATTTCTGTATGAATCTGTAAAATTTTACAATGACAATTGACGTTTGTATTATTGTTGTTGTTCTTGTAGTTATAGTTGTAGTAATAGTGGTTCATAAGCCAATAATACAACCGATCCGGAATTAACGATAGAAATTTTATTTTAACAATTTCTTTGTAATGCTTTAATTAATGAAACAAATCGTGAAGAATTCTTTAAAAAAAAAAAAAAAAAAAAATTTTGTTTGTATAAACAATAACAAATATTTTCATATATCTTTATTTATATTTGATAATGATAGATAGGATATGAAAACGATATTAACTAAACTTACACGAGTTTCAACGGTGTATTGAAATATTTAAATATTGAAATATCAACGCATACAATAATTACAATACTAGCCAATATTAATAATACTATAATATTCTCAATAATAATAAGTATTGTAAGTAGAATTAGTCTTACAGCCAATTCCGGCAATTTAGATTGAACATTCGATTATCGAAGAAAGTCAATATTAATAAACGAAACAAGCCATTACGCTTAAATATCACAAAGAAGAGTGATTGGTTTGAAAAAAGAAAAAATAAATAATACATCGGTTTAAGAGAGTCGATTCGAGGGTCAAATTTTCATTCGTAGACCTTAGCTTCTCAATAAGCATTTTTTCTTTTATTTCCATTGTAATTGTCAATCTTGGTCTCGGACAATCGAAAGCAAACTAATTTGAGGGTAAAATTAGTAGTTCATGTAGTTATATAGAAATGCGAGTCGACACTAATACAGTTAATAAACGAAATAATACGTTAATCACTACCATTCAAATGAATGGAAAATTGGTAGTATTATTTAGTCAAGTTGTGCGATCATTTAAACTTCTCGGTTGCACGAGTAATCAGAGATATTTTAAAAGTCATAGGAATTTCTCGAATAACGGAGAACTCAGCCGCCAATCTAGAGTAAATACATTTTTGAAATTTTACATCCTCATGTTACATGTGGGTGATTATGACTCAAGTTTATCCACCTGAAAAAAAGGTATTTCAAAATCTATCTGTCCATATTTATATTTCAGGGAGCACGGAAATACGAAACTTTTCAAGATTAAATTAAAAATATAAAACATATCCACAAGTTAAATAAAAGTATTTTATTTCTTATTCTGTTCTTGAAATATTCAATAACTATAATTATCAATATTACAACAACTGTTTCGGATCTAAATTTTCACAATTCGGCCGCATTGAATTATCAATACACTTATGATTTGTCAGATAGTTAACGATAGGAATTGAAAAATAAATTATAATGACAAGTTGCTATGCGGGTGTAATGATTAATCAGCCTCGTAAAAAGCTTCGATGTATGTATACGCGCAACGCATTCTTATGATTTTTTTTTTTGTTTTTTTTTTTTTTACTTTATGGTTCGAATCAAGCCTGACTTTCTAAAAGCTACATATTGTCATGAAAAATAATACTTTTTTTTGAGAATCGTATACGCGAGAGTGCGATAAAAATATTTTACCCATTATATCTAGCGTTACGTATATCCTTTGTAATATAAAACCTAATTAATGCTTCCAATTTTTCGGATGCGAGTTTTGGTGATTAGTTTCGTAAAAAAAATTAATATTTTTGGATACAAAATTTAGCGAATGAACGGCTTCTCTAATGAACGGAATTGGAAACCACAGTAAATGTAAATGTCCATAACTCCTTTTGAAAGCCTTATATATATGGGTTACATATATGGGCCCGAATGGCCCGTATATAAAATAAAATTACTATTATTTGTATGAGATTGAACGTACAGCAAGAGTATTTAAATGAAATTTTAATCTTGCTTAAACATTCTAATAAAACTGTAGTTCAATCGATTTTTTCAGAATAATCTTGGGGGGAGGGGGGGGGGGCTAGGTTATAAGGATGGCAATGTACATCGTAAATTCGAATGACTATAAGTTCTTTACTTATAACTATAACTTCCTTTTTGAAATGGTCGTATTTGACGTCGTAATTTTATCATTACAATACCAAATACTTCCTTTCGAGCATTTCAAATTATTTTCGGAAATAGATGGGACAAACTTTTGTTTTTAGTTTATGGCAAGGCAACGTCGATGACTATGGGCCATTGGGAGTTTCTCTTACGTCGGGATCATAATATCGCTTAAACAAAGCCGAAATGGCTTTCACAATATAAATGAAAATTTTCAAAGCATAATTCAACATAATAAACGCTTACATTTAAAATAGAAATAATCTCGATCGCGTCATTAATATTACAAATTACTTGCATTCGATCGCAAGATTATCGTTTATTTTGAAAACTCTGTGCTCCGTTTGTGTAAAATACTTGCTAATCTAGTAAAAGGAGAAATAAATTTTCAAACGCATTCTCTAGCTGACATTTTACAATAAACGATGATAAAATCATTTGTATAACCGCAGCTTGCATCTGTCATCAGCTTGTATCAACAAATGCAAATTATTCTTACACCTTATAGGCAGTATCGACGTATTTAGCATAAACGCGTTAAAATTAAGTAAAATGCTCGATCGCAAGAAGAAAAATATTCAAATTTACATAGAATCAGGGGTGGAGTGGGGTGGGGTGGGGTGGGGGACGGAGGGGGGGGATGAGGGGGGGGGGAGAAGGTCTTCTTACGTGCAGCTACAACATCACGATAAATAGATTTATTGGCTTCCAATGCACATATTGGGAGGCACAGGAAAGCGCGTAACATTATAAGAAATAAGGCAAACGGAGTTTTTGAGGACTAAAAGTCGGCAGGAGTCGTTGAGCGAAAATTAATGGACAACTTAGGAGCAACAAGCAACAAGGACACCACCAATCATTGTTCTTCTAACATTATTACACATGGACATCGACTCATCACGAGCGTCTACCGAAGTTCAAAGAAGCCAGGTGCATCGACTTCTATTATTATGCATCAAGAGTAAGCGATGATAGTCACCTGAATTTTCTACCTGCTTCAATCTCCTCGTGTATCGCGCACTTTTTCCTTTTTCATAATCGACACGCAAAAACAACACGAGAAAAAAACAACAAGCTGGTCCTCGATCGAAAATGATTGAGAACGATGCCACTGTGGTTTTTCTTTCTTTCTCTCTCTCTCTTTTTTTTTTTTTTTTTTTTTTTTTTTTTTGTCTATTCGCGATTATTAATATAGAGCTCTCGTTGTTTTTCAGGTAACGACAACGTTCATTGCACCTCGTATTGCAAGAAGTAAAAATTCTGTCCATAGAGATACTTTAAAAACGCTTGCATTAGTTATTTTTTCTAATCGATCAATTTAGCCAAGTTTTGGAAAATTGTATGTAAAGTCAATGGGAAATTAATTTGGGCAAGACGCGCTATCTTGATGCGCCAAATATCAGCAAAAGCTTGAATAATCACGCTCACATCAAATACAGGATGCAATATTTTGTTATCTGCGTACATTCACTTAATAAGGCTACAACATTGTTGCATTAAATGTAATTGCAATTTTAAATATGCGCCCGTGTGTAAGCTGCTTCCGTGTACGCGTACCAACAGATGTATTATGTAGGCTAATTAGAAAATTTATTTAATTCATAAAGAAACATTTATAGATTATGGCTTTTCACAATCGTCTGTCTCCTGTAATGTAACAACGGCATTTTCACAAATATTTTTTCAACGTGCGATATAGAATGTACGGGCGGACAGGGTCGATGATAACGAAAAAATTAAACATGTATTGGACTGACAAGAGGATGAATTGGATGGGAATAAGGATGGATGGGCGTTAATTTTAAATTGTGTTTTAAGTAATACAAATTGCTGGAGATTTGAAAAGTGAAAAGAATCGTTGACGAATTAATCTGCCAAAGTCCCGAGATCGCAACATTAAACACGAAAGTGTGCTTTTGAGCGATTGTGACGATTGTCATTGGCGGATAATCAACGAGGCAACATAAATAATAGAACAAACTTCCGTAAAAAGATAAGAGCAGCTATTATGAATTAAATATCATTGCATCGAGTAGACGTGGTGTCGTGCGCGTTAAAACGAGCATGAGGTGGAAGCCCTCGGTGCTGGTAAATATCAGTCCCGCCTGCCTACGAGACATCCCCAAGAGAGCCGCTGCTGCACAACTACCGTTTCGGTACATTTGGTAAAGGACAGAGAGAGAGAGAGAGAGAGAGAGAGAGAGAGAGAGAGAGAGAGAGAGAGAGAGAGACGCGGGGCTTAAAGGCGATGCTCAGGTCCTACTTAAGTTCCATGGCCAAGTTTGCAGCTGCTGTGGCACTAGTTGGGAGGAAGGGAAGAAAGCCTAGTGCGCGAGAACAACAACAATGCCAGGGTACCTGGGGCACCAGCTGACCCGGGGACGTAGCGGCAGACTGAAATAGGGAAGTGAGAAAGAAACCGCGAGAGAGAGAGAGAGAGAGAGAGAGAGAGAGATAGTGAGAGGCGCAGAGAAGATGGTGATGGTGGTAGTGGTGGTAGTGGTGGTGGTGGTGGTGGTGGTGGTGGTGGTGGCGGCGGCGGCGACGGCGGCGGTAGTAGCAACGGCGGCATGACGAGGTGGGGCGTGGAGAAAAGAGAGCCCGAGGAGGAGGATGAGGATGAGGATGAGAAGTTGGTGGAGTGGGGGAGGGGGAGCGAGACGGAGGCTCGTTTCCGGCCCGGACTGTATTTGCGAAAAGTATGTATAGTGTGCGCGAGAGTGAGCCGTGAACGAGTGACCGGACGAGTGGAGAAGCCAGTGCCTCGAGAGCCTCCGCGCTCTCGCCGACACCACCTCCGCTTCTGTCTCCGTCTTCGCTGCCGTCCGCAGTCTTCGCTCCTCGGCTCTTCTAGGAAGTGTCGGGGCGGCGCCCCTCCCCCCGCCCCTCTTGACTTTCGCAACCCCGGGCTCGGACTCACGATGTACGACATCAGCATCAGCATCGCCAGCAGAGGCATCATCTCCTCATCGTTGCGCAGTCTTACGACTCGCGCCCGGTAAGTGCCGTCTCGTCGATATCGCCAAAGGCGGACCTTTATCGGGTTTAAGAGCGCCAGGGACCCTCTTCAACGCTAAATTAGCGTCGTATCCGACTCGATAATCCCCCTGGAAATTCAATCCCTCTCTCTCCCCCTTCACACACATGTTTCCAACCGCCGAGCCGCGCCGCGCCGCGCCGCCTCAGCCATCCTAGTTCGATGCTAGATTTACATACCGCATCAATTACGTCGATCCAGCCATTAGAGAAAAGAATATAAAAGAAAGAAAGAAAGAATGAAAAAAATAGAAAAAAGAAGGAAATATGGTCATGGAGTTGAAATGGCCTTTCTCCGAGATCCGCTTATTATTTATAATTGTAATCCAGAGTTTTGCGCTCACGCGGGAGCATTTCGCAAGTTTAAAAGCTTTTGCTTAGTGTGTGTGTGTGTGTGTGTGTGACTGACGACGATGTGCGAGCGTGCGTGCAGTGTGCATATATACACATACAGTCGAAATGGCTGTAATGTAACCTCAATTGGAGGTTGGATGAAAGGCAGCTGGAGTGTAACGAGTGGTAAACAAAGCTTGGTTGGTTTGTCGTCCCGTAGAATGGAGTGGGAAAGATGCCGAGGAGTCGGTGGTCGACCATCGTCCTCTAGAAGCATCGGGCCTCGACGATATTCCAACTGTTGGACGGTTCCACGCGAGTATTATTTTGACGCTTCGAGTGTTAATCTACACGAGCGAGGCTGGTGTATGCCACTCGATAGGAGAAGGAAAGAATGTTAAAAGTTCGGGCAAAATTCATGTACGAGGCCGAGACCGAAGACCGGCGGCACCGACCGGCGAGAGTAAAGAGAGTGAGAGAGGGCGAGAGAGAGAGCGAGAGCGAAGAATAGAAGGAGAGAAAATAAGATAATAAAGCGTATTGAAGGATAGAGGGAACGACTCGGTGTACGCGACTGCGTGACTGTGCGTAACTGTGCGTGACTGTGCGTGCGTGCATGCGTAGAATGAGCGCGGTAGTGGAAAAAGCAAAGAGGGGAAGACGATCGGCACGCCGCGAGGGAAGAAGAGAGTAAGCAGAAGAAAGGGAGAAAGAAAAGAAAACGAAAGAGAGAGAGAGAGAGAGAGAGAAGGCGCCTCTGCTTTGTCGTCTCATTTCCCGTGGCCCGGTAGTTGCATATGCTCTCTCCGTCGGTTATATCGTGTTTCGTGTTCTGCGTATGTCGTGTTGTTTGGTTTTTGCCATTCTTTGCATTCTTCTCTCACTCTCTCTCTCTCTCTCTCTCTCTCTCTTTGTCTATCTTTCACTCAGTCGCGCATATTTCTTGTCTCATCCTTCCCTTTTTTTTTTTTTTTTTTTTTTTTTTTTTTTTTTTTTTTTTTTTTTTTTTTTTGACGAAACACTAACAAAGTGCTACTCTCGGCCGTCGTTCGACCCCTTGTATACACGATTCGCGGAATCGGCAATCGGACGACGTCAATCGATCTTCGTGCCTGCATGAGTCAAAATACATGAAGAGCGCAACGCAGCCGTCGTAATCGTCGACGTTGTCGTCGTCGCCGTCTCATTGACAAACTAGGACAGGAAAGAGTTGATCATACGTCACGGGCGTGAGATTAAGAAAGCGGGCGAAGCAGAGAGAGTGCGTGCGAGAGTGAGTGAGAGAGAGAGAGAGAGAGAGAGAGAGAGAGAGAGAGAGTGGAGGGAGAAAAATTAAGAGGCGCGAACACTAAAGCTGTTGTACTTCCGAGTAATGCAGTGACGTAGAGGGAGGAGCGAGGTGTCGGGAGAGAGAGAGAGAGAGAGAGAGTGAGAGAGAGTGAGTGAGTGAGTGAGTGAACGCGTGCGTGCGTGCGTGCGTGCGTGCGTGCGTGCGTGCGTGCGTAAATGCGTAAATGCGTAAGTGCGTAAGTGCGCAAGTGCGTAAGTATGCGCGCGAACGCGTAGAGGAGAGAGCGGGCAAGGAAGAACGCTGGATAAACCGGATACACGTTCTTCTCCCTTAGGTATAAACGCGACAGTTGAGGCTAATGTGCGAGGCTTGGAAAGCGCGAGTGAAACAACCTACCTGTGTGCTGCGAGCCGCCGGTACTTGCTGGAGGAAATTCCGTTTCGTTGAGACGGCAGCGGCAACGGCGGCGGTGGGTGCGACGGCGGTGACGGTGGCGGTGGCGTTGGCGGTGGCTGCGATTGTTTACGAGCTCTGGTGAGTAGGAGGGCGACGTCGGGATTGTCGGTGCTATGTGCGGAGATGTACGGAAGGATAAGACGCGCGACGCTCCTCCGTAACGATCCTTATCGTGAACGGGGGAGAAGAGCGGCTTACCACGTGCCGTGCGGTGCGCGAGCAGACTTCTCGGTTGTTCGGCTGGTGGCTTTGTTGATGTTTGTCCAATTACGCGATAAGCTACTTTATGCTTTCTTAATCGTCTTCGTGGAGCGCGCGAGCCAAGCACATTTATTATCATTCATCCTGTGACAATGCAATGTTTGCTTATCGACTCGCATCTTCGAACGCATGGCCGGTCGAATTGCTTAACGAAACGGTCGTCAAACCATCAAAACAAAAGAACGACCAATGACCCTTCCATGCCTCATTCTATTTCGAGTCATTCGCGTAGTTAATGCACATAATATTACAAAAAAATTTTCTCCCTCTTTACAAACTTTCTTATAACCATTGCTATTCTCATTATCGTCGTTGTCATTGTCGTTGTCGTTGTTCTTGCTGCTGTTGCTGCTGCTGCTGCTGCTGCTGCTGCTGCTGTTATTGGCGCCGTTTTTCCTTAAAATCCCTCATCGTCAATCTTGATAAACGAGCAAACTTTATTATGTGCCCTTGACGTAAGAATCCTAACAAGTAGATGGAAATTAATATTGAAAATGGATGGATCGTTGAGGGGCCGTTGTGCTGTGCCTGGCACAATGAGTAGCGAGTCGAATATTTAATTGGGTATAATATACAAATCTTTTAATTTAATTGCTTTGCCGGATTTATTAATAATGCACCCAACAATTAACGTAAGAATTGTATTCGAACGAAATAGCAATGAGCACCGTGACAATATTAATTGTAAATGATAAAGTGATTATGATGGAAATATGCAATGTTGATTATAATTACGCAATAGGTTGTACTTACTCTGCCTACCCAAAATTAGATTAAAACGTATATCTCTTGGCTAAATAATATTATTACTATTATTACGCATTAAACTGTACTATTCGTGCAAAACGTCATTTTGTCATTCGATATTTGACAATGTATCGAACGTTCGTTCCGACGACGTTGATCGTGAAAATTTTTTTTATTATTTTCAATTTAGAAAAATATCGAATTTTGGTCGAATTCAGTCGAAAGGTTTTTATTTTCAATGTCCATTTTAATAGATTATCTCGTTTAATAGACCTCGTGGCAGTCATTAATGAATTAAAAAGTGATATACACAGTTACGATGTGAAACTCTCTTGTCTATTCGAATTTGCTGAAAATAATAATTTCCGACTTTATCATATTGCCTTGGCCATGTTTTATAAGTCGTCCCGCCAATTGCCAATGTAATCAATTGTAATTTTGAAAGGCTTTGCGAGTTGGTTGAAATAAATTGAAAAAATTTACTATTGAATAATTATTATATCGCTCTGGCAATTCATAAATTATAAATATAATCACAATATAATAAATTTAACAAGGATAAATATAGAATTAATTTTCAGTTCACCTTAATTTTGAAATAGGACAATTGACCTTCGTTTAGAGTATTAAATTGCAAACAAAATTTCCAATTTAAATTAAATTTTCGTCACTGTCATTATCAGATTTCAAATTTAACGATAAATATTATTTATCCATTGTAATTATTTATTTATTTTTTTTTTTTCTTCAAGAATACGTAGAACTTCAAAAATTGAAATATGTCTTTACAAAAATCTTGTGTAAGCTCTCACGTTCTAAAAACTGATAGTACGCTTATAAGATAACAATTTCTTTTTTGATTCGGCGGTTGTGATAAAATATTAAGATGTCGATTTAACCGATGTTTATTCATTATTAATATGTAAAAATTGAGTTTTTTTAATCAAATAATATAATCATAAAAATTAAAGTAAGGTGCGCCGAACGATCGTACAGTTTCATTTATTGAGCGATCGTATTTAAACAATTTTCAAAATGCTTATTAATCTCGTTCGTGATACTTTGGGTCCCCAAATTCATCCGAAGTCCTATCAAGCTTGTTGTTCCATTTCACTTCCTCTTCCTACATCTCAGTGACGATAATAATCGGGTGTATATTATTTTCTCGAATTTCGTCCACATTATCTCCCAATGTAGAACAACGATACATCCTCATGTGCATACGTATGAAGAGCATATCGTTATCTCCGTGGCAATGCGACTTTTTCCTATCTCTTTTCCTCGCTCTCGTTATCTCCTTATCTCCTCTCCTACCTTCTTCCACGCACATTCCACGAAGTTTCCGCTTCATTCATTCATTCGACAACTCGTAGCGTCCCGTGTACATTCTCACATACATTTGAAGAACACTCGAAGCTGCCGAAACTCTTTATTAGTGGCTTCGAGAATCCCTGGGAATATTTATAATCGTGACACGAAGCGGGGTTCTTTAATTTTATAGAGATTAGAGAGATAGTGTATACAGGCTGTATGAAACGCGAACATTTAAATTTGGGCGCCACGATAAGGCAATGATAATACACGCTTCCGTGACCTATGCGCGTTCTTTAAATAAATAATGTATTTCCAATTTAAAATTCCTCAGATTATTTGGATATTCCAACTTCTTCACTATTTTACGTATTTAACACAATGCTGTCGATTTATTATTAAAAAATTATATGTTAATCCCAATTAGAATAATATTTTATGTCGAGGCTTTACACATATTTAAGCGCCCACGAGTTGGAATTTAAACGGGCATTTTAATTTATAATTAAATATATTTTATTTAATTCATAATAATTTTATGTATAATTGCTTATGTTTATATGGCCTGGTATTTGATGAACCAAGTTATAATTTATTCGATTAGAGATAACATTCTTTTTTTAAAAATTTCAAAATTTCAAAATTATTTCACAATCAATGATTATTCTAAAAATTATATTACATTTTTCTTACACGAATTGCCTGTTGTGAATGCACCGCGCAAATATGCAAGTTGTTTTTTTTAATTATTAAAGCGATAATAGGGCAAAATTAATGTATCTCGTAATAATCTTTAGATACTTTAATATTCCATTAAGTCGTATATCGCTATATTTTATCAAAGGTCGACAACTTCGAGCGTTCTAAGCACCATTGGATTCTCATTTTATACTGAATATGAAGTCAATTTTATTGCGCGGTGTACTGGCCAATTATGTAGATTTCTGAAAAATCTGATAGAAAGTTACTCTACGATTAACAAAGTAAAAGAAAAATAAAGTAAAGTTTCAAGGAGCAAGGGAACTCACCAAGAATGACAAGTACGAATTACGTAGTATAGGACAGGTGATGCCGCACATGTCTTCCCTCTACCTCGCTCCCTCCTCATTTCTGCTAAACATCGTGCTCTGTTTTTCTTAAACCACAGTTTTCAAAGTATATGATTAAAGGGATTTTCTGAGAAAGCGATGACAACGAATCGTCACAAGCTACCAACAACAGCTTATCGTAATTTCGAAATATCAATTCAAGTAACATTCGGTACGTTAACAATTGACGAGAACAAACAAATAAAATATTACGGTGAGATTTTCTTTATAAATGTATGTTATAACGATTATTTTCCTTTACGCGTACATTAACGCGATTCATTGCAACAAAAACGTTTGACGATGGACTTTAAAAATTTTACTTGAATTATTTCAGAATAAAAATATTGATAAAAGAAGTTTTTATTTTACATAAGGCGCGTGCTTAATTAAAATGATGAAAAATCATTTTGATGAAAAAAAAAAGGGAATAGGCATTCGTATTACATTACAAATTTACTTAAATAGCATTGGGCAATTATTTAAAACATTCGTATCAATATCATAGAAGTATTATCTTTATTATTATGAACTGAAAAGTAAATTGTTTAAGAAAGTATCGAGCGACAAAAGGTCTGCGTAAAGTTGTGTAAATAACGTTTACGCTCGGTATATGATATTTCGTTTATTTACAAAGTTATCTCTTTCTAAAAATTGTTTAACTGCATTGTGTTACTTATGTATTATTTAAAGAAACTAGCTACATAATTTTTGTTATGTAAAACTGGAATGACCTACTACAATTTCTTTTACCAATAGTCGGTTTATAATTTCATAGCATTTACCATTTTTATACAAGCATTACGAATTGATTGGTTGATAAAATCATATGTTTACTAAAATAAGGAACGGGTTGATAACAGATTTCGTTATTTGTGTCAATGTAGGAAATATACAAAAAAAACAAAAAAAAAAAAAAAAAAAAAAAAAAAATCAAAAAAAAAAAAACAAAAAAAAACGTTACAATAAAGTTACGAAGACTGAATAATTTGCGCTATTTAATAAATTATAATCGATGAAAAGTTTTAAAATAATATTTAATTATTCTAATTATAAGTATTAGCCAAAAATTAATTATGTTATTTATCAATATGTACATATACGTACGTTGGTTGTTATGATTATTTTTTTATTATTTGTACGCTGTTTTAAAGCGATTAAATTTTACATTCTTCAAAAGGTACATTAAAAACATTATTAATCATTGATTTGTGATTAATTTTTAAGACTTATTCGAAAAAGAAAAAAAAAGCTTCTAAATTTTTTAAATTTTTCAAAAAGGATCGAAAATTTCAAATTAAAAGTAAAAAATTTTTTGCTTATCAAAAACATCGTTTCAAAAATAAATTATTATAGTAAAAGTTGTTTCCTTCAAGCATAGAACACATAATTATAGTAAAAATATATTTTTGGCTGGATTAATCCAATAATATTGTAATTTAGAAGAAGTAGCTTTATGGAAAATATTTTTCAATTTTCCGATATGCATATAATGTAAACAATATGAATCTTTTCTTAACATAATTAGACCATTTAACTTTGTATTATTTCGTTACCATTTGCTTTTTTATTTTCGTTAAAATATGAGAAATTTGTAAATATTGAAATAAGATCTGAAAAATCTAAAAATTAGGAAATATTTTTTGTATGAAAATTTGCTCTAATCTATTAATTGAAAACATATTTTTTTCATCGTTCAAATTTGTTGAAATTTTCACGATATGTTTATTATGAAGTAAAAACGATTTCTGACATTTCATACCAAATTCCTATTTTTATATGCACTTTTCACAGACATTTTTAATCAATATTTTAAAAATTATTTATAGTATTTGTGGTCAAATATGTGCGATTTTTTATTATTAATTTAGAAATGGATAGGAGTAAATTTTGTGTACCTTAAACTGCTGCTATTGTTTTTGTTTTTCCATGTAATAAATTCTTTGAAATCATTAAGTAACTGAATATACAAAAGTTGTAAATTTTCTTTTTTTTTTGTTTTTTTTTTTTTTTTTAAATAATTTCGCCAATTATTTAAAACTTTTGAAAAATATTTAAGATTAAATCTACTTTTTCATGTTAATCAATATCAATATAAATAAATAATTTTCTCATCGAAGTTCAAGACAATTGAATTTCGCTTTTTAACATATTAAATATAAATATCACTATATTGTACTTAACACAATTCGGCGTAATAAATTATCATTATTTATTAAATTATAAAATCTTCCTTCGTTAACATACATAATGAGACATTTGAGTCTGGCCAACGGGTTAAAATATAAATTTAAAAAGTACAAATTACGATTACTAAGCTTAAACTAAAACTACTATTTTACAATTTCTTTCGTTAAATTAAAAGTATACATTATTGGAGAATGTGGGAGAATAATAATGACAATATCGCCGATAGTTTTGAGTTTCTAATTGGTAAATTTGTAAAGCTCTGGTAAAATGTAAAAAAAATACCCATTTCCATTTTATTCGGCATATCGGACAATAAGAAATTTGTTTGTTTTGTTTGTTTTTTTTTTGTTTTTTGTTTTTGTTTTTTTTTTTGTCATCGTTTTCTCAGCCCTTTATTTTTACGCCGATTTGCAACGGTGTTCGTAATAATCGATATTTAACTTGAAACGAGATGAGAACGGGTCGGGCTAATAATTACGGGGATATAAGCAGTTGAAGAGAAATGCCATAAATAACTAAAGCCCGACTCTGAAAATTTTTTAGATGAGATCGCGATGCCGTGATGGCTGGCAGAGCGCGTCAACAAAATCCGGAGATCGATCCTGATCTTTCAACGCCGAGCAACAAGAAGATTAAATTAATCGAGTTTAGTGGCTGCGAGCAGCGGCAACAGCAGGAGGAAGCTGATGGTAAAAAATCTACTCCAACAGGAGGGGAAGTAAACTTGGAGACGTCCGAGGTTTTGCCATCGTCCGACGAGTCGTTCTGCGAGGAAGACGAGAAAGAAAAGGTCGGCGACGACGTCAAAGTCAAGCTACAGAAGGAAGAATCCTCGGAACCAGCCGAGGCACCGTCCTCGTCGTCGAGTGTTGTGAAGACGACGCAGCAGCAGGAGGCGATGGGACAGGAAAGCGGAGTGCAGACCTCATTGATGGGGGAGCACGCGCTTTATCACGACCTCTCCGTCATTGGGGACGGCGCCTACGGCACCGTATACAAGGCCAAGGACGCGACTAGTGGCCAGATAATCGCCCTGAAGAAGGTGCGCGTGCCCATTACCGAGGACGGACTACCCACTTCGACCCTCAGGGAAATTGCCGCCCTCAAGCAGCTCGAGAGATTCGAGCATCCGCAAATCGTAAGGGCTTTATGATTTAATCGACGAACGAATTGCGTAATCATTCTGTGAAATTGGTATGCACATAATGATTTTTCAACATTGAACTTGAAGTAACATTGAATTAAATGAGCAAATAACGGTAGAGCAAATCGTTAGCCCTTGAAAAGCCCTTGTATTTTTTAATTCGTTGAACTTTAAACTGTACACTACTGTAAGAATGAAGCGAATCAACGGTAACAGAACTTTAAACGCGATGCTCATTTGTTTCAGCAGTTTAATTAGATTAATATTATTTATAAAAAATTGATTATTCATAAAACAAAAATACTTTCATAATTATTATTACTTTTTGTAATGCCGCGAGAGTTTGAAAAACTTGAATATATGCTAATACATTATCGATTGATGATATTCTACAATTAAGGAGTAAAAAATTGTATGTATTCTTTCATTTAAGGTGAAGCTTCTCGATGTCTGCCAAGGAAATTATCTTGAAGTAGTTTCTGGAGTTGGAAGATCCGAACGGTTAGATCGCGGATTAACATTGTGGTTAGTGTTTGAACACGTTGAGCGAGATTTGGCATCTTTTATGTCAGCCTACACATCGCACAAAATTGCACCTGCGTTGGTGAAACAGATGTCTAAAGAAATTATTTTAGGAGTGGACTTTCTTCACAGTCATCGTATAATCCATCGAGATCTTAAACCACAAAATTTACTAGTTACTAAAGATGGGCATATTAAAATTGCAGATTTCGGTTTAGCGAAAACTTATGACTTTGAAATGAAATTAACTTCTGTTGTAAGTGTCGTGTGACTTTTAAAATTTTAATAAAATTAATCATGCCATTAAATTTTATTGACAATTGTGTATTATTAGGTTGTGACCCTTTGGTATCGAGCTCCAGAAGTTCTTCTTGGATGTACTTATGCTACACCCATTGATATTTGGTCTGTGGGTTGTATTTTGGCCGAACTAAATGAACTGAAGCCTCTCTTTCCAGGAACGAGCGAAGGGGATCAGCTTGATAAAATTTTCAGGTAGCTCGTAGTAGCCTGTAATTTGTACTTTATTGTTGGATAGCTCAAAACTGACAATATCAATTCTTGATTATAATTAAAAAAATTAAATTCTAG